TATTTGATAATTTTATTTATAGATTTAATGATTTTGGGAGGTAAGGAGGTTAAAACAAATTTTCTTATCGGAATTTTGAGAAAAGTGTCTTACCGGTAAATAGTGTGGCAATAAAATACCTTGTTATCACCATATTTTTTTAAATATACCAAACTGACAATATTAATTTGTTAATTTAGCCCTTTAGAAATGATCTTTTAACTTTTTCACGGAAGATGGATTTGGTTTTCTTACCCGACAAGATCCGACCCGTTAATCCCCTTATCTAGAAACAATTACTGGTAACACCTCGTCTCAGAGAGAGAGAGAGAGAGAGAGAGCGGGAAAATGTCGTGGGTGGCTCTCTTCATCTCGGCGACGAAGCTCGCCGGAGTCCTCGTCACCGTCACCGTCGCTGCCAACGCCTTTTCCTTCTCCCGTTACCGACGGAAGTATCTCCGCCCGTTCGATTCTCCGATCGACGAGTCCGCCGATGTCCTCGCCGACTTTACCTCGCTCCCTGGATCCGGTACCAAAACCCTAATCCCGAGTGTGTGGAATCGTTTGGAGTTTAATGGAATTCTTGGTGAATTTTAGTAGAATTTATATAAAAATTGTGCGGAAAAGTGAAATTTAATATTATGGTAAAATTTTGAGCGCATGCAGCTGTTAGAGCTAGGTCAAATGGTCATTTATTTTTGAGTTGGCTATTGCGATTATGAAAACTAAGGAATTCGGGTTCACTTGTTCATTGAGAAGGAAGTTTCAGATGCAAAATTTCCAAAAGTGATTACCTTGTCCCAGTTGTTGGTGTTTGGATGAGTAATTTTTCGTAGAAACCTTATTAGACTGTCTTTTTTTGTTTATACAACTCTCTTGGATTGTTTCGTCTTAGTTTTTGTGAATTTCTTTGAAATTTAAAGAAGTCGAGAGTGTGGTTGTAAGTTTTAGTGAAAGTTGTTGAAAGAAGTGGCATTTTTTATGAGCATGTAGCTAGTTTTGTGATGTAGAGAGTGAAAAAGTGAAATTGTAAGCCATGAAGAGGGAGATAATTGGGATGGAGGACCGGCGTGTTAAGTGTTTGAGCAAATGCCATTGTTAGAAATAGCTAATACCGCCAAATTCTCTGAGTTTGAACATATGAATCATGAAAGCTAATATATTTTGTCTTGGGTCTGTTCGTTTTAGATCTGCTGGGGTTTCTTTGAGATTTGAAGACGAGCATGGTTATGAATTTTACTGGAATTTATAAAATTGGGATTTTAAATGAGTTTGCAGCTATTTTTGTGATACACAGGGTAAAAAGTGAAATTTCAGGTTTCGTGAGGGAGAAAATCGACGTGAAGAACATTTGTCCGTTTGAGAAAAATATTTTTCTTTTGGAGAAAATGTATTCTTCTTTTCTTAGTGGACCTTTCATATCAATGGCCAATGGATGTGGATTGATCTTTAGACCTCTTATCTTTTTGCATGTTTTAATTTTGTGTGCTTGGTGGATTGATCTTAGAGTTGCTAAGATAGAGGCGATGATCATCTCTGACTGATAGTTGTTTCTAAGTAGTAACAGAATGCCAGTCTATTTATGAAGTCCCGTTAACATTGGTTGTTTACACACCTGATAGGTGAATAGAGAGTGCAACTCTGTGCAATTCTAATTTTGCTTATGCTTATCAATGCTATTTCCAATTACAGAGGACTTTATTGAACTTTTAATAGTGATATGCAGATGATGCATTCTTCTTCGGATTAGCAACAGCACCAGCTCATGTGGAAGACAAGCTTGATGATGCATGGCTCCAGTTTGCGAAGGAGCATCCTTGTGCCGACTCTGAGAGCACTAAGAGGTCACATCCAGCTGATGCCTTGATGGCTTCTGCTACTGGTGACGGTGGTTCTCAGCCGGGTTATTTGGCTAAAGATGAGTCTACACGTGCTAATGCTAAGGTTGCAAAGAAGCCCCTTAAGATTGCCATGGAGGCAATGATTAGAGGATTTGAGAAGTACTTGGATGAGGATGAGGAGAAAGAGTGCAGCTGGTATTTTTATCTATATTTATAGCAAGGCGGTGCATTTTAAGTGTTTGTAACACTTATTAGATCAACTGACTAGCACATATGTGGCAACACAACTTGACTTTGTTTTCTCTGTAGGCAGGAGAGGCTGAGATTTTGGTCTGACCCTGACATTGAGCTGAAACTGGCTAAAGATACTGGTATCACTGTTTTCCGGATGGGAATAGATTGGACAAGGATCATGCCAAAGGAACCAACAGATGATCTCAGTCACACAGTAAGGGTTTCAGGCAGGAACCTTTTTCCTCCCATCCTAATGTACCAGTTTTCATACTAGGCATGAACAGAACATTCATCACATTTGATGACTATGTTGTAGATATTCAAGTTCAATCTGTTAGTCATAGGTATTCTTTTAGTTATACTGCCATCTCATTGGGGAAAATATAGCATCATACTTGCTTTAAGATAGGCAGTAGGATACGCTAAAATGGGTCATGTATTTGATGAACTAGGTGAGGCGTGGCACTCTTATATCCTTGTTACTACTGTCTTGTTGCAGTTTGTATAAGTATAAGACTATTGCAACTTCCTTTTTGATTTTATTAACTAAACGTCTGGATTTTGTTAATAAATAGTTTATTCTAGGTCAACTTTGCAGCATTGGAGAGGTACAGATGGATAATTGAAAAAGTTCATGCATATGGAATGAAGGTGATGCTTACGCTTTTCCATCATTCCCTTCCTCCTTGGGCTAGCAAATATGGAGGATGGAAGGTGGAGAAAACTGTTGATTACTTCATGGATTTTACAAGGTAAGGCTTTCTATTGGTGAGATTACTTCAGTGTCCTGACCAATATCTATTGTATCTTAATTATTGGAGGTTTTAATTGTATCCTGATTGATTTGCGTTGTTATGTTGAAAAGGGTTGTTTATTAACCTATTTTAAATGAACCTCCAACCGTGCTATGCGCTTGTCTCCTGGACAAGGTAAACTCTGCTTTCCAGTATCAGAGCGGTTGATTTGATAGAAACTATCTCCTTGCAAAAAGAAAATAAATACTAGGAATATTTGAGTATATATATTGTATGTGTCAGCTGTGAATTTTGTGTATTGGGATTCTGGACCTTTTTCTTTATTTTTTTTTCAGACAGTACTGCTTACAAAAGTTCTCATCATTAAGTGCTAGGCATCATACATAGGGATAGCGTTCTAGTCACTATGTAGTTGTGATTTCTTGAGCTTTAGGTACAGGAAGATATTAAAAAAAGGGTAAACTGTGGAAATCTTGCTGTTAATAGTTAAATTCATATTCTTTCCTGTCCATACTATTGTATGTACTAAAAACCAACTTCAACATATGACATGTTACAGAACATTGTTAGAAGCCTATCGCGACTCTGAGTTGGCTAGGCTAACACTTCCCATGGAGGATAAATATTATATTATTGTTTGAACATTTGTAGATAATCACCTAGACGAGCGGTGTGTAATACTATTAAGAGGAACTCTGGAATCACAAAGGATAATCTATAGACTTGACATGGGACTTGCAACAAGGCTGACTCTTCTGCTGATTCTGTTCCTTATAGAAACCTTTTGGTCCTTGTAATCTCCTCCACACTCATAAATGAGAATGGTTGGCTGCAAAGCTGTTAAGACTGAAATTAAAAAATATGATAAAACACCTTGGCCTTTCATATCTTCCGCTTCATCATTTACATTTTTTATATTTGCTTATGATAATCTACAGGTGCATGATACTCTTGTATCTTTCAAGACAGAAGAATCCATTTTCTGGCAACCTTCTTATATTCAGTTCATTCAGTGCATGGCTTAATAAAAAAGCCGACCTAAATATTGTTAAATCTTGTATGCAGGCTTGTTGTAGATCGTGTATCGGAGTTGGTGGATTATTGGATAACATTTAACGAACCCCATGTATTCTGCATGCTAACTTACTGTGCTGGAGCTTGGCCTGGAGGAGACCCTAATATGATCGAGGTTGCAACATCTACTTTACCAACTGGTGTTTACAATCAAGCCTTGCATTTTATGGCCACTGCGCATTCCAGGGCCTACGACTATATCCATGAAAAAAGGTTCCTCATAATTTCAGTTTTTTTACGGCTGCTTTCTTAAAAATATATGCATATGTATTATATTATAGAGGTGGCTAAATTACAAAAAAAAAAAAAAAACATTCTTCATGGTTTTAACTCCATAAACATCATATAATTTGAAATCCTTAAACTTTGAAATTGCATAGAACTACCATGAACTTTCCTGGGGTCTTTTAAAACACTACCTCCACTTACCTTACTGTCTCTAATAAAAGCATGTGCCATTCATAAAATTTGCACAAATATTGCCCTTATCTTCAACTTCCTCATCTTCTCCTCATCCCTTTTCCATTCCCCCTGTTACAACTAAGCATGTAAATCAAAACTTTTCAAAACTAATGTAGTCTCAAATTTCAATGTCTCTTAATGATCTGTAAAGGAGAATATGATACGATCTTTTTATTCTTATTTGATCTTAAGTCCGCTCTTTGAAGATCATCCATGATTCCATGGGTTGATGTGGATTTCCAAATTCAATTTTGTCTAAGAAGAAAACAACGATGATGATGGTTTTTGTTAATCTGAAGGGGAAAGGGAGGAGGAAGAAGAAGATGGATGGTAATGAAGTGAAAACTAGGAAGACAAGGAAAAATTCACAGCTCAGATTTGGTTGAAGGAGGAAAGGGAGGAGGAAGAAAATGATGCAGAAGAAGAAAAAGAAGAGGGCTAATGTGTCGCTTTATGACCACTCTAGTGCTGTCAGGGAGTTAGTTCATGACAGTTTACTATCTTAGTGTTTGGCAATCATGAATCATGGTGTTTCTTTTGTTTCCATGGCGTGTTTGGAAACAATGATGTTTTCATAAGAAAAATAAAACACTTATTGATGAAAAGCAAAAACAAAACACTTGTCCCAAAACACCTTTTAGGTGTTTTGGGTTTACTAACATTATATAATATATTTTATTATAATCTATTATATTATAATTAATGTAGTATATTAACAATGCTTAATATAATATGTTATAAATATTATAATATGCTATATTTGTACTATATAAGATAATATTATTAAGTAATTTATAATGTTATTACATAAAATATTATATGATAATTACTAAAATATCAATAACTTGTTAAATACAATCTACTATATTATAGCATAGAATTCGATATTATAGTCTATTATATTACATTTTTATAAAATATTATATATTATAGTTAGTATTATATATTACTATAATATATTTATGATATTATAATAATATAATGTTTTATATTATATTATTATAATATAATAACATATAATAATATATTTATTACTTTCATTTATCATATTGAATATAATATATTATATTAGTAAACACTATATCATAGTTAATGTAATTAAGTAATATAATATATTTATTATATTATATTATATTCAATTTATTATATTATAATAATATAACATCTTATAATAAAATATAATATTAATTTAATTTATTATATTTAATAAAATATATTAAATATAATATAATACTTAATAATATTTAAATAA